ACAATTCCCACACACCATGTGAAGCCCAGGGCCTTTTGAGCCCCCTGGGGTTCCCCAAGCCTGAGAAGGGCCTTTGGCCCCCCCCCCCCGCCTTTTAAAAAAAAAAAAAGCCTGGGACGGCTGGTAGGGAAAAATGGTTTAGTATCAACTCGGTCGTGTGCTGAGATTCCTAGGCAAGTGACTGACTTACTCTCTCTATGGCTTGTGTTTCTGTGAAACAGATGCTGAAATTACTGCCAGAAAGGGGGAGGGGGGAGGAGAGATGCTTTTGTGCTTGTTTTAGAAAGAAATAGATGCATTTACAGTTGTACAATTTCCAGTCAGCTAAATTGTGACACACGGCCCACTGCACTTTCTCAAAATTACGGATGTTAACCAGTTAGTAGATGATAATATTTATAATAATTTATTAATTTTATATGCCATCCAGCTCCCAGAGACTCTGGGCAGTTTACAATTGTTAAAACATTTTTTTAAAAAATAAAGAACAATACAGAAAACATAAAAACAGCACCAGACAAAGAGACAAGATGGCAGAGGGGAACAGAAAGGAAGAAAAGAGCACCAATCTTCCTCTTCAAAGGCCTGGGCAGAGCCAAGTGTTTAAGGCCCTTTGAAATCCCAGTAGGGTGGGAGCTGTTCAAATTTTGGGGGGAACCACATTCCAGAGAGCTGGTGCTGCTACGGAGAAGGCCTCCTTCTGGGGTCTCTCTAGGTGGCATTGTTTAATTGATAGAACCTGGAGCACGCCAACCCTGCCAGATCAAACCAGTCGGGCAGATACTATGGGAGAATCATGGTCCAAGTCAATGTGGAGAATCATGGCCTAAGTCAATGCATATATTAAAGCAGCATTGCAACTTGCCTGTCACCTGCAAGTGATTGTGTCCCTCTAGTGAGTAGAATTCACAGATGTGCAAATACAATCCCCAGTTCCTTTGGGATGTGTGAGTTGTTCTTTTCTGCTCTAAGGAGATACAGATGAGAGAGCAATGCCCACAGCCCATATGGTAGTGTACTTTTGCTGCTATACAAACATGTACGCCATTCCTCCTGTGTCTCCACTCCTGGGAGTTTAGTTGGCAGGTTATGACTTTTCGTTTGTATGTAACAAATATCACATTTGCCTTATACTGGGGAAAAGTAGGGACAGGAATCAGTTCTGCTGACAATGTATTTCAAATGAAGACGAGACTTAACTACTGACTAAATCCTTTATATCAAACTACTTATGACTGGATGAAGAACTAGGATATTATAGAACATCCCCGCGCCAACTTAAAGCTGATATTTGTGATGAGCATACATTAGAATTTTTCTTTATAAAATACAAAATCTTTCTTAAATCTCACCTGCCAGCATTAGTATCCTAGTAGATAATAAAAATTATATGTGAGAGAATATAGAGTTATGATACCTTAAAACTTCATTCACTATATTAAACTAAAAGTTTTCATCTTGATATATTCATTAGTTTGCAAGGGAACCAAGAATAAATTTAAACTTGCATTACTACAGACACCTGTTTATTATTACAGAAATCACAGATACAGGTAGGAGGGGAGAGCCCAATTAAATCAAATGCACATTGCGGTCAGTGTAGAATTGTCCTCACACACCATGTTCAGAAATGCTTTCTTTTGAGCTTTAATTACTCTTCAAAATAAATGAGTTACTTCATAGTTATCTATGAAGAGAATGTGTGCCTTTATCCATCATATGTAGAGAGACTTTGAGGACAAGATAAACAAAAAACAAAAATGCTTATAAAGGAAATGGCTTTTGAAAAAAAATGTAACCCAAGAACATTTCTCGTCTTGATAAATTCAGGTTTAGTTTAAGTAAGAGGCAATACTTCTCTTAAAAATTGATAGCCATTATACTGCATTATTTAAAATAAGGTAAAATCATGCTGCTGTGAATTACAAACCACAGCAGAAAGCTACTTTCTGTAGCTGTCAGCTGAAATTTTGCTAATAATGTTACTGAGATTTACTGCAGGTGTTGACAGAAATTATATTTCTTAATGAGAGGAACATGCATTTTGATTCTAGATATAAACAAATACCATGAAAAAAAAAACCCAGTGAGGATGAGTTCATGCAACACAATCTGTTTACTGAGTTAGCTCTTTTCTGAATATAGTTTGTAGGATACGAATTAGGGCTGCCAGATCTGGGAATGCAACCATCCACATGGCCACAAGGTGGCAGCAAAGAGTTACAGGCATAGTGGTGGTGATGATAAGTCTGTGTTGTCATCTAGTGGTTGTCCAGATTTTGGAGTCCAGATGTTAGTTGTAATTGAACCATAAACTGACTAAAGGGGCCAAGGCTCTTGAACAAGCTATGCTATTAAAAAAAAAAGTAAGTGATCCATTAAGCGTGTGGTGCATACCCAAGTAGAGAAATACAAAATGTCAGCGCCCTAATTTGTATATATATTTTTTTTAATCCGCACTCAGTCGTGACC